TGGGGGGCAGCTCCCAGCACCCAGGAGCACAGAGGCGTAGGAGAAAAACAATCCTGCTTTCCCTTAGTTCAACTAAGGCAAGGCTGGAGGATTTCAAACAGAACTTTTCCTTGGAAACAACAGCAAATACACACAGCAGCATAAATAAGCGGATAAGCTCACAGAATTTTTGGCCCGCCGACCAGGACTCAAGTATGAAACTTGTCTGCCCCAAGGCTTCCGGACTGTCCAAAGCCCACTTTCTTCCTCCCACCTTGGAATCAAAGAGTCTCGGAGAGCAGATTTCAATGAGGACAGCCCAGCGTCCATCTCAGGACAGATCTTGTTTATGATTTGTAACCTCTGTGTTCCAAAGAACATATGGGACCGTTTACAATAAAGTGTAATGTGTGTGTTTGAAATCAGCTGCTGAAGAATTAGAAGATGTTTACATGTGGCCAAGAGCATAAATAGAGTAGATCAAACCACCAAGCTAATGCCATGCTGGAACATCAAATTTAGCACCAAGACAGGTGCCTGAGTGGCTCAGTCAGTTAAGCATCTGGCTCTTGACTTTGGCTCAGGTCATGATCTCATGGTTTGTGGGCTCAAGCCCCACTTTGGGCTCTGCACTGATGGCATGGAGCCTGTTTGGGTCTCGGTCTCTCTCTCTCTCTCTCTCTCTCTCTCTCTCTCTGTCTCTCTCTCCTCTCTCTGGCCCACCCTCTGCCGCTCCCCCTCAAAAACAAAGAAACTTAAAAAAAAATTTAGCACCAAAAGCAGAATCCTGGAAAACCAACATGAAAAGAGCACTGTGAGGTGTCACACGACCGTGATAACTAACAGAAAAGGAAAGAGACATACTTTTTTGAGAAAGGCAAGCACTTTCCCAGTACTGAATGTTGATCACAGTACTGGAAGCGTATCATTCAACAGTGATTTCATAGAACACCCAGAAACTCTCGCCATTTGGCTGATCAGCAGTGTTTGTGTTGATACTACTTTTAGACCCAATGGGCTCCTCCTTTCTTCCCAGAATTTGCCCGCCACAGCTGCATCCCCTGCTCACAGCTGACCTTCTGTCAAGTGGGAAAGGCCAGGGGCTGTTCTTCCCCTCAGAGGACACTAGGCAGGGATGAGCCCCCGAGGGGAGCGGGGGACGGTTAACACAGCCTCGTGGGAGGGCGTGTGCCAGACAGGTGACCGGTGTGGGTCTCCACTTCTCCCTTTTCCAAGCGGGAGGTGGCGTGGTCAGAATTGTCATCTACGTGTATATACGGGACAGACGGTCAGTGATTCAGTCAGTCGTGACACAGATGACTGTACGTGGACTGGATGGAGAACAGAGATCCGAGCCTCGTAGAGCAGAGGCTCCTTGACATCCCTTCCGTGCACAGTGACATGACGTGATTCGAGAGTCTGCTCCCTTTGGGGAAGAACTAAACGCGGTCTTGGCTGCACCTGAAAGTCATATTATGATAAACGTATCATTAGCTTCTTGACGTTTTCTGTGTGCGTGCAGGGTGCTTGCTGGGCAACGGAGCGGAAGCTCTCATGAGCCCATGCTTCTCTTCTGTCCCTTGTACCCAGTCCCTGCTTGCTCCACAGGGGTCACATGGAGGTGGCACTCACCTGCTGCACACCTGCCCTTGACCCCCATGCTGAGCAGTAGGGGTAGGCTTTGGCCTACAGAATCTGGCCTGGCGAGGAGTCAAAGCAATGTGTAGGCATAGTTCGCAAAGACAGAGAGAAGTACGGGGTCTGTTTGAAACCAGGAAACAGAAAGCGCCAGAGACCTGCCCCACCTTCCTTCCCCCTGGGGCCCAGCTACCCAAGAGAAGAGCGCTTTCAGCACCTCCCTCCTGTTTCTTATGGAAGGTCCCTCCCCCTCCTCCTCCTTTAATGTTTATTTATTTTTGAGAGAGAGAGAGGCAGAGCATGAGCAGGGGAGGGGCAGAGAGAGAGGGAGACACAGAATCCGAAGCAGGCTCCAGGCTCTGAGCTGTTAGCACAGAGCCTCACGTGGGGCTCAAACTCACAAACTGTGAGATCATGACCTGAGCCGAAGTCAGATGCTTAACCGATTGAGCCCCCCAGGTGCCCAGGAATGTCCTTTCTTGTAAGTTATATGTTTGTACCAAGAGGGTCGGATTGTGATTTGAGATGTCTGCTAACGTCTACTGCTACAGCTGTTTCCCTGCTTGCCCCCACACCCCCCAACACACACTCACACTCCTCTGTTCATGCGGCCAACAGAGTTCAGTCACAGTGGTTAACTAAATCGTGATTCAGCATTTTCACTTTTTCTTCCAAAATGTTTTCATTTTTTATTTTAGAGAAAGAAAGAGTGGGTGCAAGTGGGAGAGAGAGAGAGAGAGAGAGGGAGGTAGAGACACTCTCAAACAGGCTCCATACTCAGCACAGAGCCCAACATGGGGCTCCATACCACAAACCATGAGACCATGACCTGAGCCCAAATCAAGAGTTGTTCACTCAACCAAATGAGCCACCCAGGCACCCCCAGCATTTTTGTTTTGACAATATCAGTGTTTGTAACGGACTTCCTTTCTTACACAGTATTTCGCGTTTGTGCTGGACTTCATGTCGCCTTTCCCCTTGGCTTATCCCAATTCTTGCCCTGAATTACTACAGAGCTAAGAAATACTCGTGGGTACCGTGCAGACGTACACCGGATAGCCCATCCATGTTTCCCGCGTGTTGCTTGGGAGTCAGGCTTCCTGGGCCCCCATGCTCTGTTCCAGCCCAGACCACTAGCTCTCCAGGCCCCTGCACCTCTGCTGCCCCAAGGCTTCTCTTCAGCATCTCCTAGAGACTCTTACTCTCCCCTCCCACTGGAGACCCCCCCTTTCCCAGAACTCATATCTTCTTCCTTGGTTTTATCTCCTTTATACACCCTCCGCTAGCTCTCTGAGGAAGACTGCCTGAGACGTACATTTCTCGAGATGGTGCACGTTGGAAAGTACCTCTGTTCTGCCTCTTGCGCTTAACTGATCGAGTATACGTAGAATTTTCGGTTAAGAACGCCTTGTGCTCCCAATGCTGAAGGCGTCTCTCATTGTCTGCTAGCTTCCAAAGCAGCTGTCATGAAGTCGCGTGTCATTTTGATTCCTGAACCTTGTTATCCGTCCTGTTTTGCTTTTAGGAGCTTTTCCTTAGCGTCAGTATAATAAATTTCACGCAGGAGGGGGTAACTTCCTCCCACACCCACCCCGTTAAGGTGCTGGGTACTTCATGGACCCTGCAGTCTGGAATTCACGTCCTTCCGTTCTGGACATTTCTTTTTCTTTTGGAGCTTTGACACGTACCTCCTTTCTCTTTTCCCTTTCCTTCCTTCTGGGACGTTCTGCGTTCCTTGTTGGATATTGGGCCTCCTGGCTTAATTGGTTGATTTCCTTCTTTTCTCTCCTGTTTTTCATTTGTCTTTCTGTTCCTTTCTGGGACATTTCTTCAGCTGCTTCTTCAGATCCTTCCCTTGAATGTCTTTATTGCTGATGTCTTAGTTTTGTAACTCGGCTTTTCTGATTTGTAAATGTTAGTTCCGATTTCAGAGACACAAAATATTTTGCTATGTATTGTATGCCTGAGGGTATTAATTAGTGTTTCTTGGGCACTGTCTTCTGTTCTTTGCTTTATCTTCCCAGTTCCTTCTGCTTTTTTATGGAGTGGGGGTTTGGCAGGGAGAATGGGGGATGATTTGGGGGTTTTGTTCCCTTTTTCTCTTTTATCAGATGTCTAGTGGTGCTTGGCGATCTGCTCATGTTTGAGAATGAAGCACCAAAGGGGCGCCTGGCCGGCTCAGTCGGTTAAGCATCCGACCTCGGCTCAGGTCATGATCTCTTGGTTCGTGGGTTCAAGCCTCGCATCAGGCTCTGTGCTAACAGCTCCTATCCAGGGAGTAAGGTCTATAGGTCTCTCCAGGGGATTATCAGACAGGGAAGGACCTCATCATTTTATTGGGAACCTCAAATGTTAGTATCGATTCTCTTTTCTCTTTGGTTGGACCCTTTCTGTTGAGAGGAAGCCTGCAGTCTCTGGCCTGATGAGTAGAAGTGTAGCCGGTAGTGCCCGGGAGCCTAACAGCCAGCTCGCCATTCCGTGTGAACCTTTTACCTAATCTCCCTATTTTCAACCTCCCACCTAATGTTTTCCTTCTCCTCTGCCTTCTGCTCCCTGTGTTCACAATTCCTGTGGTCCACTTTCTCCACTGAACCTCTCTCCCGAGAGTGCAGTGGGGAAGTAGCTGCCTGGTTGTGTGGGGTGACAGAGGGGATCTGGGGTGTCACGGGCGCTCATGTTGTTTAACCAGCCCCCCCGCCCCATTTCTGGTTCTGCATTCAGCACTACCCAGTGCGTCCCATCCCTGAGCCTTTCCGGGGACCCCGTGTGACCATTAGCTCCCTCCTTGGATTCCCACCCCCGGCCCTGATCAGTGGTTTTGTCTCATCGTCTCCATCAGTGTCCACTTATTGTCTGTCTTCCAACATTTTATCGATATATCTGATTGGATGCCATCTCCCCCCTCCGCCCCCCGTTCTCTTGGTCCGTAGATGTATACCGTTCTTCCATCTTGTGGGGGATGGGGTGGGCAGGTACCTCCACCGCTGTTTCAGTCTGCTGTTCACCAAACTCAGCACCTCACGTACATCATCGTCCCCCATCCTCATCACGTCCCCTCGAGGTAGTAGGTCTGTTATTCCCACATTGCAGATAAGGATTGAAGACCCCCAAGAGGTCAAGGCCCTTTGTCAAGGTCATATAGCTCCTCAGTGGCAGGGCTGAGATTTGGGCCCAGATATGCTTCTGAACCCTCTCTTTTGACCACATCACACTTTTTCTGATGCTCTGGGATTGCTCCGAGATTCCTTTTGACCACACTGCACAATATTAATCAGGAACACATACCACACACACTCCCAAGGGGCCACGGAGTTCAGCTAACGGGGCTTTTTTTTCCCCTCCCTTTGTTCCCCAAAGCAATTATTTCTTTATTTCATTTAAAGACTCGGCCTCTGCAGCTGCCACGGACAGCTTAGCGTTGTCTGAAGGCCGAAGACCAGAACCCAAGCCGCGAGCTTACAAGCCATCACACTTGAAAGATGTGTTGAGGTGAAATACCACAGCAAAGCCTCCCCACCAAACCTTTCTTTTTTAGGTGCTTTCTCGTTCCAAACTGAAAAAGAACCATTGGTACTATTCACGCGTAAGACTCTTCAGCTCTGGCTGTGTTCAAGACTAGATTTTTTTTTAACCACCCACCCCAATGTAGCAGACAATATCATCTTCCTGTGTCGTGCGGGGATTATTTACAAGTCAGAGATCAGTGCATGGGGGGACGAGGGGCAAAACGTGTACCTTTCCTTCTGTCTTTCTGAGAAGAGCCTGTGCTAACAGGTACCTGACACTGTTTTTGTACTGAACATTTAAGTTGCAAATTCGGGCCGTGTGGGCAGAGGTTTGAAATCAGGAGAGCTGAATTGCTGGGGTATTTCTGCAGTTCGACCTCTTGGATGAAATGCAGACTGACTTCATGGAGAAGCGTTCAAGTGGAGTCGTTCATCCCATTTATGATCTTCCCCTATTTTTTTTTTTTTTAAGCCCTACCCAGTCTGATATTTCCCTTGGCGTTCCCGGAGAGGTTCATGCCTTTATTGGCAAGTGTGAGATACAGGAATATGGGGATTCCAGAAAAAGTTCATTACAGCGTTTCACAAGTATTGAGTACATTAGTCATTTTTTTTTTGAAGGGAAAATGTGAAGGTATTGTTTGTCTTTAAAGTATTTATTTTTCTAAGCACAGATGCCTTAGCAACTGTACGTGAAGACAGGTTTATTTCAGCAGAATTTGTGGTAAACAGTGTGTTCATTTATGACCTCACAGTGGAGACATGTCATCTTCAGTGTGTGATTTTCGGGCACGATACAACCAAGCCATGACCATTCCAAAAGACATTTTGCCACTTCTCCCGCGGGCGGTCGCTACTTCAGTCTTCCCGAGTTGCACCCAGTGGCCTCCTAGGGTCTACCCCTTTATAGGGACAGACAAGCATCTTGCTGTTGGCGATGTTCTGGGCTTAACCGTGGCTGCTGGGGGCGGGCCGTGGAGAAACGGCCCACGGAGGTCCGATCAGGAACTTCAGGAGGCAGGAAGACCCAGATGTTCCGGACACCCGTGCTTTGTACCAGTGCTTTGGACTCTGCGGGGCTCTCGCCTGATTCCCATTGTTTCGTGTCCAACACTAGCAGGACAGGGTTTGGCAAAGTCTTCATGACCAAGGGCAGTGTTTTCGTCAACCATTTGTACTACACGTGCGTAAGAATCGCATGTTGAAACTTTGCAACGACTCATCGCCAAGCCCCACTGCAGACTTACTGAACCTCACTATCCATGTCTTGGGGCCTGGGAATCTGCTCTTCCCTCCCAGCACCCTTTACCCCCTACCCCTACCCCTTTTCCCTTCCCCCTTCCCCCTCCCCCATCCCTCACCCCATTTCCTCTTCCCTTTCCCCTCCCCCCATCCCCCCACCTCATTTCCCCTTCCCCCTTTCCCCTTCCTCACTCTCAAATTTCTTAGGCAAGGATATTATCCAAGGACATATTTTCCAAATTTCCTTCATGATAGGAATCTCATGACAGCCTCACTAAAACTACAAATTCCTGAGCCCCACCCTCACCCCGGTTCAGGTTCTCCAGCAGGGCGGGGCCTGGGAAGCAGGGAGAAGGGAACCTAGCATTCCAGAAAACTCAAGATCCAGAGGCCAAGGTTGCCTGCTGGAAGCCATCTGAGGAAAGAAACCAAGCCCCACCCATGACTTTGAGAGACTTTGTGTCTGTTAATTAAAAGACAGCCAGAGACTTTAGAAACTAGAGAGACTGAGGAAGATCCAGGGTCTTTGGGCCCCGGGCAAGTCAAACCAGAAAGTTCTTTCCGTTCGTTTTCCCCATTTACGTGTTAGATTTCTTAAGACCCTTTGAAGCTTTCCGATTCTGCTAAGCTCAAGTCCAGATATAAAATCAGTCCTTATTCTCTGCTGGTGAAACGATCTAAGGGCAACCTTAAATTTATTTTCTTTTCCCTAATTATTACAAAGAGAACATTTCATTGGCCGTGACTTTTCAAAAGCAAGAGTAGCTTTTTATGCTTTTAAAGAAAAAAAAAATGTCTAAACACTTGTCATTTCTGAAGTTCTCAACTTCTCCTACATATAAACCGTGAGCCTCTAAGGCCCAAAAAAACATGTATTGTTTATCTCTCTTTGTCCCCTGGGTGCACGCTGATGCCTAGCATGTGAAAATGAACACTCCGTGGGTTGAGCAGAATATATTTTATTTTCCCCGCTCGGTTTATTTTCCTTAGCTGGAGACTATCAGTGTTAAATTCAACTTTTTTTTTCTTTTGTGAGGTCTCTCACATGTGCTTGATTATTGGCTTATTAATGCGAAGATTTACAGAGGGGAGGCAAAAATGCCGATTTTTTTTTCTTCTAAAGGAAATGTCAGACCGAGAGACAAAACGTACAATTGTCCGTACCTGAAAAGAGATGTCCAGATCCACCATATATCCTGCTGAGGAAATTTCATTGCGTATAAATGGGTTACTATTCGTTGATGGAAAAATCAAGTTAACTGGAATCCCCAGTTCACCAATCTTGCCAGCTAACTGAGGTATTAGTGTCCTGTGTAAACTCTCAGAGCTATTAAATTAAATGGTCATGACACGAGACCTCAGAAAAAGTCTTATTGTTGTCTGCAAAGATTGTGTACAGGTGTTGCTGGTCTGCGTTAGAATAAAAAAGGCTTCAGTATTCTCAAAAATCATTTCCTCTCTTGAAGAAATGCACCGTCGTAAAATAGCCTTTTCCAGTACAGTAATTGCTGGCGTCCAGCTTCAAAAGAAAATCCTCGAATATTAGTCAGGGTACCGTTTCCACCAGGCTTCACCGAAGGGACCGTCATTTTGCGTTTGATTAATAAAATGATTCCAGAAAATAAAAGGAACTAGGATTTAATCCCCACAGACAGAACTCACTGGAAACACGTCGTTGGTAAAGGAAATTGTTCTACATTTTGTAAGAGACGCGTACAGTTCAAGCCTGTAGAATGAAGAGGGAGCGATCGGTGTAAAACCTCTACTTTCCATGTCGGTGTCGTGGCCACTCTGCTCGAGTTTATATTTTAACCCCATGAAATGAAAACTCCGAGAATTTTATTGCAAACACAGAAGGTTAAATATTTATAGAAAGGAAGAAAAGTCCTCCTTAATATAAGAAAAGCCATTTCTAATGATCCACAGCGTTTGGTGGGAGTAAAAGATACTCTGACGGTGAAGGGTTCAGAAGTTACTGTGGGCCATTGTGCGAGCTTCATAAAATCCTTTCTTTCGGATGCTCATCACCAAGGTTCACAGTCCGTTCAGGGAGTCTGTACTTGTGAACGCCCCCATTTTTTCCCTATTGAGGATACCTGTCCAATTTCCTGGACTGCCTTCCCCTGACTAGAGCCCCAACCTAGTTTCTACTCCCCACCCGTGCTGGGATCCCAGATCCCCATTTGCCAGAGGACAGATAGGTACCTACATTTCTGTAGTTTGGATAAAGAAAAAAAAAAAGTTCATCCCCGTAAAGCGACTCTCATTTCACATATCCAAATTCACAAGCGTAACTCTTGCTTGGAAAGTCCCTCCGGATTCTCCTAGTTGGAAATTCTGCCGTAGATGAGCGAGAGCATCTCAGCTCTGCTCTTCCTGGCCAATAAGTTGGCCAAAAGAGTGTCAAATAGAGAAAAGAGCTAGCTTTCCTTTGGCTGACCTTTTCTCTGTACACTGTGATAAACGGCTAAGTGTAAGGATTGGGTGATGAAGATAGTTAGAAGTTAAGAAAACAGATGCCTGATGACACTAATGTGTCATTGATAAAGAGGATGGCTTCCAATCACGTGCCTTGCTGTTGACAACTGTCTCACCGCACTTTGAAACAATATAATGTCTGAAGGAATATGATGAACGACGAAACAACTCTAGGATGTCAAAGAGGAGGGACTGTAGTAAGAAGATGGCATCAAGCACCAACGAAAACATTCGCAAATGTACAGACACATAAGATGACTGTCTGGGAGTCTTGGGGTAGAGAGGGGAAAATGGAGAAGTGGCATTGAACTCAGCCTCTGACAGGAGCGTGGCAAGAAGACCCCTTTACCTAGGGGCGGCCTAGGCGGCCTTTACCAGCCATTAAGGCCAGACCCATCCCCAAGGCCTTTTACCACTTTTTAGATCTGCTCCAAAGTTGATGTGTCTGTACCACATTTGGGATACTTAAAGCAGATAACGGGCCTGCTCTCAACCCCCAACCAAAACAGGAAGTTCCCCTCAGTGGCTTGCTAGCCCAAAAGACACATTCTCTACAATGCCAGTGGAAGGAAATCAATACTGTGCTGTCAAAACTTCCTGGAAATAATACCCAAGATGTCCAAACTCGGGCCCATGATCCTCATCAGCCCTGCTTTTCCGTCTCTGTTTTCTATTTTAATGAGCAAGCCCGCCCACCATTCAGTTTCTCAAGCCCAACCCTTGGGGATTGCGCCAGGCTGGTCCCTCTCGCTCGGCCGCCATATCCCATGTGACGCTGACTCGTGATGGTTCTCCTCCTCCTCCTCCTCTTCAGTGTCTGTGAAAACCGTGCACCCCTTTCTCTCTGTCCTTCAGGCTCCTGTCGTCCCTTCTGGATCCTTCTGTTTCCTGACTCCCCTCCTTGTCTGCAGTTCTGCCCCCTCTCAGTGCCTTCCCCACACAGGGGCCAGGGCAAGCTTTGCAAAACATGGACTTGTTCTCATCGGCCCTTCCCTCCCCCACCACTGCTCCCCGCTAAGCCTTCCGGAGTCTCCCCACGACCCAAGTTCCTCGTGGCAACACTTCAGGCCCCCTGGGATCTACGGCCCCCACCCCCATCTCCTGCCTCACACGTCCACACACAACTGCAGCAGACACCATGCTTCATTCTGTGCCTCCCCATGAATTTCCTTAGACTACGTCCCACTTTCCTTAACCCGAGCCCCGGGCTCCTTATCTGCAAAATGGGAACAGTCCCGTTGCCTCACAGCATTTCGCCAGGTT